TCTGACTGCAAAGGATTATGAATTCATTTTTAAGAAAAAGAAGTTATTGGGAGAATACAAATAAGCTTTTGTTAGAGAGCTTCTTCTAGAAATGGTCTCAGAAATAGTAGAACCATTAAATAATTCAACACATATATTATTAAATACCCATGTCAGGTGCTATGTTAGACATTGGAGAGTTAAAGGCCCTCCACGCCTGGTCTTAAAGTCTAGAGGAGACTTCCATGTCAACAAGCCCTTCTGACACAACGCGATGCTTGCTATAATGGAAAAACACAAGGAAGAGTGACTCATTCCATGGGTGCTTTTATGGCTTTCCAGAGAAGGTGACATTTGAGTTGGGTCTTGAAAAATAAGAAGGCGGTTACTAAGTAACGAAGATGAAGAAAGACATTACAGAATGACTAGAGGTGAATGGAGGCGCAGAATGAGCAGATGCACATTTGTGAATAGGCCTGGCACATCTGGGGAGCAGTCGGAGCCCTACGTGACCAGAGCTCTGGGAACCTGAGACACACAAACTCAGGACTTGTGCAGCAGTAGGGCAGAGGCTGTGAAAAAACCTAGGGATGAACACACCAGAGTTGCCAGGGCTTCCTTTGTGTTCATTAAACTTTATGTCAATTTTAATAAATAGTGAGTTTAGGCATTTTTAAAAATTCAAACAAACACAAATATGAGGCGACTTCAAAAATCTGATGAGGCGACTTTTGTGGAAAATCTGTATTACTAAGGAAAACAAAATTGGGCCAGCCTATGGTGGTTGAAGTGGCTGGATCTCACATAGCTGTCCCAGACCAGCAGCTTGAAAAACACACCAGGCGCATGTGTCTGTGTGCCCAAATTCTCTAAAGGAGGGAGAAATGGAGAAGCAGCGATTGAGGAGTAACCATCCTCCATGTGGGGGATGATTTCGCACTTTCCCTCTCTCTCTCTGTCTCTCTCAGGAAGTGAACGTGCCCTCTGTCAAAAATTTATTTAAAAAGAGGGACCAGCAGATGGCATAGTGGTTATGTCACTGGACTCCCACATAGTCCACCACGGTTCAAGTCCTGGACCCGGTGGCTTAAAACTGATGCTGAGTGCATGTGCATGTGTTCCCAAAATCCCAAGAGGAGAATGGAGAAGAAGGGATTTCAGGATGGCCATCCTCCCTGGGACGGTGATTTCTTTCTTTCTTTTTTTTTTTTGGAGAGGTTTTTGCTATAGGGTGTGTGTGCTCGCCAGACAGACAGAGAGAGACAGAGAGATAGAAAGCGAGAAATCACCCCCCAGGGGGGATGGTCACGCTGTAATCCCTTCTCCTCCATTCTCCTCTCGGGATCTTGGGCACGCACGCACACGCGCCCGGCGTGAGTTCTAAGCCACCGGGTCCAGGACGCGAACTGCGGTCGACTACGTGGGAGTCCAGCGACATAGCCATTACGCTAACTGCTGGTTCCCTGGGACGGTGATTTCTCACTTTCTGTCTCTCTGTCTCTGTCTCTCTGGCAAGCACACATGCTCTATAGCAAAAAAATCTTTCTCTCTCTAAAAAGAATTATTAAAAAAAAACTTGATGGATTTCAAAATTTTTACAACAAAACAAACTTGTGTTTTAATTCTATTTTCCATAAAAGTATCTAAGCCCTTTCATACATTGTAGAGCTGAGTGAAAAAATTCATGAATTTTTTAATATGAAAAAAATACATCTCTTATAGAAGTCTGTTTTAAGCTATAACCCCTCCACCAAAGGCCTCCTACAAAGCCCTGAGCCCTGTAGTTTCATATTCCAGTTCTTATGGGCCTTTAGTTGAGAAGCACTGGAGTAACAGCAGGGTTGGGCTGGGAGGAGAGGCAGGAAGTAAGGTTAGAAACCTTCTAGACATCTTTCAGGTATTTTTCAGATCCCCATTATACAGAGTTTCATATGCCAAACAGGATATGTAAGCAGGATGATGTCAGGACTGACTCTCTGACTTGAACACCTATAGCAACTTGGCAAATGAATTAGAGGGAAGGAGATAAACCAAGTCAAGGGACTTGCTACCATTGAGGTGGGAGATAGGGAATATCTGAAATAAGGCAGAGGCAGAGGATGGCTAAGAGGAGATGGATTATTTGAGAAAAATTTAGGGAGAAATAAGTGAAAGGACTTAGTGATAGGTTGACTGTGGGCAATAGGTAAGGGTCAAAGATGACTCTCAGATTCCTTTTTTTTTTAATTTTTATTTTTTTGCCAGCGTGTGTATGCTTGTCAGAGAAAGAGAGAGGAAGAGAGGAGAGGTAGAACGTATCCCCTAGTGGGGTATGGCCATGCCACGATTCCTTTTCTTTCATATCTCCATCATGTCCGAATTTGGGGGCTTGCGCACAAGCCTGGCACATTATCCAAACCATTAGGAATGGGATTTGAACTACAATCAGTCATGTGAGATCCATCTCCTTTGACCATGAGGCCATGGGGCTGGCCTGATTCTCAAATTTCTAATTTTGCAAACTGATTGACAGCAATCATATTACCTACGGTAGGAATTAAAGGAGGAAAAGGTTTCTGAGAGATTTCTGAAATACACCTGAAATATAATGAGGCTGCTTCTGCTAAGCTCTGATGCCTGTGGTACAGTAATTCATTCATTCAATATCTTTATTGAGCAACTACTTAACATCATGAGTTGAGCTAGACAGGGAGTTGGAAGTATCTAACAGGAAATGAACATTCAACTTTGGAATTTAAAAGATGTTTTAGACTGAGAACATAGAAATGGAGATCATGGGGGCCAGCAGCTGGTGTGGTGGTTAAAGTGCTGCCCTCCCACACGATGGACCATGGTTTGAGTCCTGGACCTGGTGACTTGCTTTCCCACTTTCTCTCTTTCTCTCTCTCTTTGGTGAATGCCTGTTCCCTGTAGAAATTTTTTAAGTAATAAATAAAATTAAAAATTTTTTTTAAGAAAAAGAAACCAAAGTCATAGATGTGTTTAGAAGTGGTGACTGAAGCTAGAGAAAAAAGTTTTGATGCCACGAGGAGAGTGAAAACAGTGAGAAAAGAAGGCTTAGGTTTGAGCCCAGTGGAATACTAGTCTCCCTGTACTAGGGAGCGGAAGAGCTGGGGAAAAGTTTTTCACAGTTGTTTAGGAAAGACCTTCCCCTAGTTGTTTTCATGTCATTATTTCTATAGTAAAACCTGTTTACATTTACAGACACAACATAGGAAATGTGAAAGAATTGCATCAATGGATGGCATAATAGTTATTTCTCTGGACTCCCATGTAGTCTGCGGTTCGAGTCCAGACTTGGCTACTTAAAACTCACACTGGGTGCATATGTGTGTGCCCAAGATCCCCAGAGGGGAATGGAAGAGAAGAAATTTTGGTGTGGCCATACCCCAGGGGAATGATTTCTTGCTGTCTCTCCATTCCTCCTGCTAGCACACACGCCCTATAGGAACAATCTCTCAAAAAACTGCAAAAGAATGAACATGATCTTTCTACATAATGCGTAAAATCTTTTCTTCTAGAATCGTTAAGTCTCCTATGTTATAAATCTATAAGCCTCTTCTCAATTGAATCATTTAAGTTGAGTGTAAAAATAAGCTTAGACCACTTACGTGAGTTGCACTATCTTATGAAATTTTGCCAGTTGACAAGTTAGGGAGTTATAATTATCTTTAAAGGAAAGTTGGGAAATAGCGTTTAGAAAGATAAGCTTCACTCTGTAATCCCATTGGACCCATAGACACAGATAAAATGAACCCTAGATTTAGTCTCTCAGGGGTTCAATTTTTCCCTGCAACAGTTACACTTCCAACTTGAGTCAAACTCTAGAATGAAGATGTTCTGGCAAGAGGAAAGTGTAATACGTTAGAAATTCTAGGATGCCCGCGACACCCAGGCAGCCCGGCTTTCCGCTGCGCCCCGGAACCTAGAGCAGGTTCCCAGGCCGCCCCAGCTCGCCGCCGGGGTAGACAAGGCAACCGCCCTAAGGTCTTCCGGAGTCCCTAACATCCTTCACTCCCGGCTCCTACAGACCACATCTCAGAAGGGTTCTCCTTCCGATAAGATTGAGATGCGCGAGGGGCATGGAACGAGCCCGTCAGACCCAGGGTCAGAACCCGGCCACTGCTTAAATTGCAAAACTCTCCGCAGGCGAAAACCACAGATGTCGCCCATCGTTGGGTGACTGCTCATAAGGATAACCAATCACAAGCCTGCTTTGAAAAAGACTGTTACGGAGCGGACACTGTATTGGTGGTGATTCTTTGTCAATCTCAGCGGAGGCGTCGCCTCTTTCCTCTTAGCAACGGATGCGTCATAGCAACCGCCGGCCGAGGCGCTGAAGTTTGTGCTCTTGAGTTTAGTTTTGCTGAGAGAAGAGTCGAACTCACACTTTCAGCTCTCGGAACTTTTTCTCCAGGATACTGAAAAGAGGCTTCTTACCCTCAGTGTAGCAGTTCAGGTAAGGGAAGCTCTGAATAGGAAGAGGCATGGAAAACGAGTTCTGCTCGCTATTCCAAGGGCGTCTAGAGCCCTGACTGTGCCGGCTGTGTGCTAGTCACAGTGAAGACTACGAAAATTAAAACTTAATTAGAAATTCTAGGATGCCCGCGACACCCAGGCAGCCCGGCTTTCCGCTGCGCCCCGGAACCTAGAGCAGGTTCCCAGGCCGCCCCAGCTCGCCGCCGGGGTAGACAAGGCAACCGCCCTAAGGTCTTCCGGAGTCCCTAACATCCTTCACTCCCGGCTCCTACAGACCACATCTCAGAAGGGTTCTCCTTCCGATAAGATTGAGATGCGCGAGGGGCATGGAACGAGCCCGTCAGACCCAGGGTCAGAACCCGGCCACTGCTTAAATTGCAAAACTCTCCGCAGGCGAAAACCACAGATGTCGCCCATCGTTGGGTGACTGCTCATAAGGATAACCAATCACAAGCCTGCTTTGAAAAAGACTGTTACGGAGCGGACACTGTATTGGTGGTGATTCTTTGTCAATCTCAGCGGAGGCGTCGCCTCTTTCCTCTTAGCAACGGATGCGTCATAGCAACCGCCGGCCGAGGCGCTGAAGTTTGTGCTCTTGAGTTTAGTTTTGCTGAGAGAAGAGTCGAACTCACACTTTCAGCTCTCGGAACTTTTTCTCCAGGATACTGAAAAGAGGCTTCTTACCCTCAGTGTAGCAGTTCAGGTAAGGGAAGCTCTGAATAGGAAGAGGCATGGAAAACGAGTTCTGCTCGCTATTCCAAGGGCGTCTAGAGCCCTGACTGTGCCGGCTGTGTGCTAGTCACAGTGAAGACACGAAAATTAAAACTTAAAAAAAAAAAAAAAAATTGCCAACGGGACTGTGAGCTCACGAGGGAGAGGGACAGGGAGGCAGCATCTCCCTTGGGGCATGATCACACTGTCATCCCTTCTCTTCTCCTTTCCGGATTTTGGGGCACCACAGCAAGCTGCTGGGTCCAGGACTCAAACCTCGTGGTGGGCATGTGGGATCTAGCTGCTCTAACCACCACAGCACAGGTTGGTCGGCTAATGACATTTTCTCTCTATATGCCTAGTGGCTTAGATACTACGCTTTCTCATTTAAAAGGCTTAGGACCTCTAAAAGCTGTGGAACAACCTGGTCTCTATGACTCTGGGGTGCTAGTCAGTCATTTAGACACAAACATTAATATTTGTGCAGGTAGTAAACGTGCTGTTCTGATAAGGCACGACGTATTTAGTGTGTGTTCCAATTTTGTTGCCCAAGTTACTGCTGAAAAATTGGCTTTGTTTTCCCCCCCGAAACCCGAAAATTCAACCAAATTGCATCCAACTTAATAGCATTTCAAAAGAACCAAACACTTGTTTATTGTGACTGTTTTTGTGTTAAACAGCTATCTATGTGCACATTTAAGTCTAAGGCAGCACTACCTAATCCCTTGAATCTGTGAATATGTAACCATGCACGCAAAGAAGAATTGAGGTATTCATTAATTAGTGGAATGGAAGGTACCGATCAACTGACTTTAAAATAGAGAGATTATCCTAGGTTTTCAAGGTGGGCCCAACATCATCTGAGGGCCCTTAAAGTGGAAGAGGGAGGAATAAGAGGTCAGAGTATGCTGTGTGAGTAGGACTGAACCCGCCCTTGCTGCCTTCAGAGACGGAAGAAGCGGCCACAAGCTGAGAAATGCTGGTGGCTTCTAGAAGATGGAAAGGCAAGAAAACAGATTCTCCCTTAGAGCCCGCAGGAAGGAGGGCATGCAGCCCTTCCGATGCTTTCATTGTAGCCCTGGGAGAACTGTGCCGGACTTCTGAACTACAGAGCTGTAAGATAATACAGTTGTGTTGTCTGAAGTTACTAAGTTTCTAGAGATGCATACAGGTTATCCCATTAAGCAAAAGCCCTTTGTTCAGATTAGAGATTCATAAACTATGAATTGCAGAAGGGAAGGGGGAACCATGGACTGGATCATTTCAACTTTTTTTTTTTTTTTTTTTTTGTCTTTGGTATATTCACTGTTCCAGCTACAGGGAACATGAGTACCCTCATGATCTTTAAAATGGGAAAGAAAACACAATCCCATCTTTGCTGAATTAATAGCCCAATCTGCAGATCCCAGATTGAACTCCTGATCTTCCCTTTCGGATCTGCTCCTCCCATAAGAACCTCACCTCTGTAAGTAGCAACCCCATGCTTTCAATTCCTTAGGCTAAAGTCATGGATGTTATCCTTGATCCCTTCATTTCTCTCAGACCCTACATCCAAGTCATCAGCAGATCTGACTTTACTTATAGCATATACTCAGAATTCAATCCTCTGTTGGGACCAGCAGTTAGCGTAATGGCTATGTCGCTGGACTCCCACGTAGTCGACCGCGGTTCGCGTCCTGAACCCGGTGGCTTAAAACTCACGCCGGGCGCATGTGCGTGTGTGCCCAAGATCCTGAGAGGAGAATGGAGGAGAAGGGATTGCGGTGTGGCCATCCCCCCAGGGGGTGATTTCTTGCCTTCTGTCTCTCTGTCTCTCTCTGTCTGTCTGGCGAGCACACATGTCCTATAGCAAAAACCTCTAAAAAAAAAGAAAAAAAGAATTCCGTCCTTTGTCCATCTCACTCTCATGTGATCTAAGCTGCCGTCATCATTCCTGTGGACTACGGAAAATCTCCTCACTGGATTCCTTGATTCAGCCCTTCCTTCACTGCCATCTTCTCTCCACACGGCAGCCATCATGATCCTTAAAATGTGAGTCAGGTAGAGTACCCCCTTGGCTAAAAACTATCTAACAACTCTACCTTCTTCAGTGTGAAAACTGAAGTCCTTAAATACGATCCAGCCCCCTTGTGCAATGTTATGTAATTGTTCCCAACTATATTATTCCCAACCATTCCTGTCTTCCCTGTAAGAGGATCATACATTCCCAGCTATTGCTGAGGAGGCAGAGCATTCCTCCCCCATGATCAGGATTGGCTGCATGATTTCCTGGGGAACATGTGAGCAGAAGGGATAGTGTGCCAGTGCCAAGAAGACACAGGTGGCATGTGCAGTTCCAGTGGCGCTCCTGCCTTTTCCTTGGCCTTGCAAGTGTTGTGTCAAGAAGTGGGTGCACCTTCAGCCTGGGCTCCAGAACAAGAAGACTTCAGCAGGTCTTCCCCAACCACAGCACAGAACATGAGAAGAAATCAGTGTCTGTGGTGGTGTGTCGCTGATACCGCTCTTACCGACTTCATCTCTAATCTCCCCCTCTCTCACCCCGCTCTAGCCATCATGACTTTCTGGCTGTTTTCCTAAACATGTCTGATATACTCCTGCCCCAGAGGCTTTATGTATACCATTCTCTTCATCTGGAAATATTCTTCCTCCTCCAGATAGCTGCATTTTTAGCTTTCTCCCTTCTTAGGTCTTTGCTCCAGTGCCACTTAGTGAGGCCTTCGCTGGCCTTCCAATATAAAATTGGAACTTCCTTACTCCTACATTTCCTCTCCTCTTCCTACTTAATTTTTCTCCTTAGCAGTTATCACCATTTAAAATACTAATTTTCTGGGCATGATGGCACATGCCTGTAGTCTCAGCCTCTTGTGAGTTCAAGACCAGCCTGGGCTGGTCTGGTCTGTAAAAAAATAAAATAAAATAAAAAAGAAAGGAAGGAAGGAAGGAAGGAAGGAAGGAAGGAAGGAAGGAAGGAAGGGAAGGGAAGGGAAAACGAAAAGAGGTAACTGATTATTTTTGTTTGTCATTGTCTGTTTTCCCCTAGAACGCAAAGTTGATCAAGACAAGGTTCACTGCTGTATCTCTAACACCTAGGATAGCATCTGACACATCCTAGTCGCTCAGTAAATATCTGTGAAGTAAATAGAGGTGGTGTGTGTGGTGAGTCTGGTGTTCAGAGTTTTTTTTAAGTATTTTAAGTCAAATGCAACTGAAATAGAATATGGAGAGGAATGCATTGATAGAGACTCTTCTGAAAAAGGGACTAGATCCAAGATTTGAAATTATTCTAAGACTGGAAAGTGGGATGGAAGAGCCTTGGTGGTCTAAAAAGCTAGTTCAGAACTATTCATTGTAGAATATTTATTTTTAAGAATTTGCTAGAGGGCTAGTGTGCTCACCAGAGAGAAAGAGCCTGAGAGAGGGAAACTGAGAAAGCACTCCCCATGAGGGATGATCAAGTCGCATTCCTTTCTCCAAAATTCGCTTTTGGGAGTTTGGGACATACATGTGCACACCCCTGGTTAGTTTTTCAATCTGTTGGGTCCAGGACTTGAATGGCACAATCATCCAGGTGGGAACCAGCTGCCTTAACCACCACACCTCCTGGCTGGCCCCGTTGCAGAATGTTTAAAAAGTAGAAATTCTTAAGTCATCAGAATCATAAGATGTTGATTAGATAATCAAACTGTACCTTTCTAGGTAAAGAGAATGATTTTAAATAGTTCCATTTGTAATAAAACAGCAAATGGTTATTGTTGAAAGCTGAGGGACAATCTAGTGCAGAGGTTAAAAGTGTGGCCACTGGGGCCAGGTGCTCAGGCTCACAGCCTGACCAGTGCTCTGGCAAGTCACCTGACCCCTCAGTGCCTCTGTTTTCTCATTATAAAAGGGAGATAAAGATAAAGAGAGATAAAGACAACAGTAATAATAAAATGTGGGCAAGATTAAATTTAAAATTCATGAGAAGTATGAGAATTGAGCCTGGCACATCGGAAGAACTCCACCAATATGAAAAGAAATACATGTCAAAGAACTGAAGGGAGGGCCCCCCTGAGTATACCAGGCATGTGTGCCCCCTCGAGTCCTGGCTGGCTGTAGCAGAAATCCACCAAGTCAAATTCCTGTTGGACGTATTGTCTCTCTGTCTCTCTCAGTCTCTCTCTCATCTGTGGAAGTAATAACTGAATAAACGTAAACAACAAAAACAAAATATTTGGGGGGCCAGCAGGTGACAAGGAGTTTAAGGTGATGGATCCAACATGGTTTGCTGCATGATTTGAGTCCTGGACTCAGCAGCTTCAAAACCATGCTGGGCACATATCCATGCATGCCCAGAATTCCAAGAGGAGAATGGAGAAGGGATTGTATTATGCCTATCCACCTCCCATGGGGTGATTTTTAATTTTTTTTTCTTCTCTCTCTCTTTGTCTCTGTCTCTCTCTGGTGAGCGCACATGCCCTATAGCAAATTAAAAATTTTTTTTAATCTGAAGGAGAAAAATGTTCATACAAAAACACACAGATGCCTCCCTCCCCACTTTGATCAAAATTTGATCAAGGGGGTAGGTATAAAATAAAACTCATGTTATTTTGACCATAGCCTATAAAATAATATTCAATATGTGTTGATTTGTTAAAATCAACAAACTAGTCTGAGATGACTCAGCTGATGATAACAAAACTTTTTTCACTGAGTCTTCACAACTACTTAGTGAGGTAGGTTTCTATCATTATCTTCAGTAAAAAAATGAGACTTAGAGAAGATAAGTCATTTGCCTTGAGTCCTCACTGGTAAAAAGTAGAGCCTGTTTTGGGACCAGCAGTTGGAGTAATGGCTATGTCGCTGGACTCCCATGTAGTCAACCACGGTTCGAGTCCCAGACCTGGTGGCTTAAACTCACACCAGGTGCGTGTGTGTGCATGCCCAAGAGCCCAAGAGGAGAAGGGATTACAGCATGGCCAATCCCCCCTGGGGGTGATTTCTTGCTTTCTGTCTCTCTGTCTCTCTCTGTCTTTCTGGTAAGCGCAAGTGCCCGATAGCAAAAACCTCTCAAAAATAAATAAATAAATAAAAAGTAGAGCTTGTTTTTAAACTCTGCTGTTTAGTCTTCTGAAATCACACTCAACCACTTAACAAGATGGGACAGAGACAATCATTCAGGAGATGACAAGGACTTGCTGTCATGACGATAACCTTGGCCAGTGTTATTTCCTGTGGAAGTTGATGAGCAAGTTCATAAAAAAAACTTCCAGAGGCATTGTCTGACAGTGTAAATAAAGCCTAGGGGTTATGTCCACATGCTAGGTTTAAAATACATGAAAAATATGAGAATTGTGCCTGGCCTGTAGTACGTACTCCACCAATGTGGATTGGAATTAAGTTAATTTTTAAATTATGTATTTAAAAATATATGCATATTGTGGGCCCGTCTCTCCCAGCGGACTCTAAGCTGGTCTTTGTTGCTAGGGTACCTGCTGGGGAGCCCAGCCCTAGGCAGCACAGAGCACCTACCTGGGATGGGAACTACAGGGAGAGGCGGAGGAACCAGTTTCCCCGTCATGCTTCCATGGCAGGGCCTGTGGCTGACCCCTTGAGGTTTTGCCCAGTCACCACCTGTGCTTCAGCGGAATGGCTCCCTGGGAGCAGCGATATCTTGTCAGTAATTCCCAACAACCATCTTGCTGACAGTAAGTGTGGGGTAAAACGTAGAAAACATATTCCTGTGTTTATTAAATGCTAATGCTTACTATCTGAGATTTAAAAGCAGGATTTGCTAATATCTTTTCTTTCTGTAGCCTAAGTCAGAACCATGGCTCCGAAACCAAAGAGCCCATCTGGCAAAAAGAAGGCATCAGCTGGCAAAAAAAGGCAAAAACAAATATTACCCGGTAGGATTGTATTTTTCTTTACTGGGATATTTTTGTGGCTTTTTTTGTTCCTATATTAGCAAAGTGATCATGAATCAAATAAAAATGAAATGTTTTTGCTGTCATAAAGTAAACACATTTGGAATTAAACATGCGGGGCTTAGTTCTGACTTTCGATTCATTTCATTACAATATCAATTAAATGCCGTGTAGCAAATATATCACTAAGAGATAAAACTGAGAAAGACAATTATTCATATTTTTTCTAATTAATTATTTGTAAAATAGTTTTAATTTTTCATTGTATATTTGTGCCGATGTTTTACATGTTGAGGTTTGGTGAAAGATCACAACAAACTGATATATATATATCTGATTAAAAACGAACATAAATTTGACATAATTTTATTATATTCTAGTTACTGAAGAAGAGGAACCAGTGAACATGGAGAGCATGGGTATGTGAAATACGACTTAGACTTTATGTCCCAGTTTAGCAATATTTGACTATGCAGTAAGCAAGCAGGAGTACTGTGAACTGAGGTGATCAATCAAAATGTCCAAGGGCTAAAATTATATCATGTCACTGCGAATGTAAAATGAAAAACTTTTAAGAAAGGATTAAAAGAATGGAAAAAGAATTTCATACAGAAATAGACTTGAACCAAGCAGTTCCTTAAATATCCATTGTATGATTATTGGACGACCTTTCATAACCCTAAGGTATGGTAAATCTGGAAGTTATTATTTTTATCAGAATAGTACTTTTTAAACTGTGGCTCACAGGCAATATTTACCTGTACTTCACAGTAAGATTTCACTATTTCAAGGAAAGAGGTTGATTTTTAAGCAACATCAAGCACACTGATGTTATTTTTTTCTAAAGGCTAATCTTACTCCAGTTTACTCAGCAGCACTTTTTGGGGAGAGGAAACTTCTCTCCTATTGTTGATTGAGATGACCCACTTCACTTTTAGGAATGGAAAGTACATGGAGACCTTGAGGGAGGAGATCTAAAAGCCTTGGAAGCCACTGTAAAGCTTGGGTGGGGCAATATGGGTAATATTGAAGCAGAGGTGTAATGCGATCTGACTTACATTTTTAAAGGGTCTCCCTGGCTTGTGCGGAGAACTGGAGGCGCAAGGATGGGAGCAGGGTGCTGTGAGGAAGTAAGGCAGCAATCCAGGAGAGCGACGGTGGTGGCTTGGGCTAGGAGGGGAAAGGGAGTGAAAGTGAGGAGTGTGACGATGGAGAGAAGGTGAGAGGACGCTGGCTAACAGGAAGGGGCCCTGTCGTCAACATCTAGCACAGTGCCTGGAACAGTGTATGCTACCCAGTCAATATTTACTGAATAAATTGTTGTACCACCTGGAAACTTGGGATGTTCCTTGATTATTTTCTACTCCTTAACACCTCCTAACCCTCATCCAAACCATCCCAACTCCCATCAGTTCCACCTTTAAAATATAAGTGGTCTTCAGAAAGTTCATGCAAAATGCATCTTATAAAAAAACTATCCCTGGATTTCAATTTTTTTGTTCAAAAATAAACTTGTATTTTAATTCCATTTTTCGACAATGTTTTGAAATCCCTTTGTATATCCCAATCCCATCCATATCACATTATTCCCCCCCCCCAGGCAGCCTTTGCCTTCCCCAGGCAAACCTCCACATCCAAAATTTAAATTGGTTCCTAAACCTTCTCACTGAGAGCACCGCTTCCACTCGGCCATCTTCAGTCCATTTCACACACAGCAGCCTGACTGCCTCTCTTTCCTGATTAAACTCTCCACGCTTTTCTCTGCACTTGAGAATCCTTACAGTGATCCTGGCCTTCCCCTCTGACCTTTTCTCCTCCTCCTCCCCCACCCACCTGTAGCTCACAGCCTTGCTTAGCACTGGCCTTCCAAATTCATTCCTGCCTCTGGGTCTTTGGATGCCTAGACAGATCCTCCCTCCGATCTTCATGCAGCTATCACCTACTCCACCCAAATCTAGCAAGACTCCATCTCACTTCCTCAAGAAGCCTTTTTTGACTTCACTGTCCCCTCCTGTCCTGTGTAATTGCTTTCCCAGCACGTATCACCATGCACAGGTGTGCACATCGAAACAGTGACCAAGAAAGTTGCTTTCTATAACTAAGAGAAAGGCAAGGAGAGGGGAGGGGGTTACAAATTGTTTGTCAAGGGTTGACATTGGTCCATTTAAAGTAATGCTGGCAACTGATTGGCCATAGCTAATTCTTAGCATCATGAACACTGACAAGAAGAAAAGATGGGGGTCACACTGTAAAATCTGTAATCTTTTGTAGCATCACAGTTTGTTCACTATAGAGTAAAACATGTTCTTTGGGCAATAACCTCGATGGGTGTGGAACATGTCCAAAATCTCAGGCTCATGTTTACTCAGGCCTTTACATTTCAGACGGACCTTGAATTCCACAGACTCTCAGACTCAAGTGGATTGGCAAATATGAAATTCATGAATACTGGCTGTATTTGTTTTTGTTTATACATGTATAGTCTAATTATACACGTATCCATGCTCACTCTTTTAGTCTCTCTTTCTCACACACACACAGGTCCAGGGGAGCAGAAACTGTCTTGTTCACTGCTGTACCCCAATGTCTAGCTTAGATATAGACACATAGTCAGTGCTCAATAAATACTGATGATCTATTTACTGAATGAATGAATGAATGGCTTTCTCTGTTCTTACTGTCTAAATAGACCACCACTACTGCCCTCCTTAGTTCTTTCTTTCACCCTATTTTCTCCTAAATAGCACTTGTCATGATTTGTATTCATGTATTTACAAGTGTGCATATTTACTTAATGTTTGTCTCCCCATTTAGATTGGATACAATGCTTTTCTCATAGTGGAAGCTCAGTATATATTTCCCAAGTAAATTAATTGACTGGTAAGGAAATCCATGAATCTGAGAAAGGAGAATGATGGAGATATTTTCATTAAAAGTGAATGGACTGGGGACCAACAGATGGCATAATAGTTACATTACTGGACTCCCACATGGTCGACTGAAGTTTGAGCTCAGACCTAACAGTTTGAAACTCATAATGGGCTCATGTGCGTGTGTGCCCAAAATCCCGAGAGGAGAATAGAGGAGAAGGAGTTGTAGCGTGACCATCCCCCATGAGGAGTGCTTTCTCGCTTTCTGTCTCTGTCTCCCCAGTAAGCACACATGCCCTATAGCAAAAGTCTCTCTAAAAAAAAATTAAATTAAAATTAATTTTAAATGTAAAAAATAAATTTAAAAAGTAAATGGACTGAAAAGTAGAAGTGAGTTTGTTTAAGAAAAACAAACCCAACCTCGGTACTTTGAAATGAGACTCGAGGGTAGGTTTTGATTAATCATCCCCTTGTCCTAGAGCCTCTGTCCTCCACCCCCAGACTCCCCTCAAGGGAGCCTCAAGGTCCCTCCTGTCCCTTCTGTTCCCCAGCTGTCACTCAGGACTCATGGTTGTCATGTTCCAAAGAACTGAAATTCTCTTTCCTACCAAAGATACCAATAGACAGGCTGGAAAATTGTCTTCATAAGGGCCTAAAAGGACAATGTCTTAAAGCTTCTAGAGAATAAATGTAAGTTTTACACAGAGCTAACATTTTTGGCCCACTAGCTTTGTGCCAGGCACACTCATCTCTCTCCTTAGCTCTGTGAAATAGGCATTATTATGCCATTTCAAAGATGAAAGTGCGGTGACTCCCAAATGTTAAACAATTATCCAAATCATGTCATATTTTAATACAAGTTAGAGCATCAGTGACTTCCTACTGATGCTGTGACAAATTACCACAAATGTAGTGGTTTAAGCAATACAAATTTTAGTTGTTTATTTATATATTGCAAGAAGGTGCATTTACTTGCCAGAAAGAGACAGAGACACACAAAGAGAGAGGGAGAAAACACTCCCCAACAGGACACGGTGATGCCATAACCCCTTCTCATTCATTTCTCCTTCCTGTTGGGATTTGGGGCATGCAGACACACATGCCCAGCATGTTTCTCAAGACATTAGAGCCAGGACTCAAACCATGTGCTTAGCCATGGCCCCCTGGTCAGATCCACGCATTTATTTTCTAAGAGTTATGGAAATCAGGAGCCAGAAAAAACTTCCACTGGACTCGGTGAAGGTATTAGCAGGACTGGTTCCTTCCAGAGGTCTAAGGGGAGAATCTACTTTCTTGCCTTTTCCAGTCTAAATGACACCCATACTCATCGACTCCAACCATTTTCTCCATGTTCAGCAGCGGAGCATCTTCTAACGTTTTTCTCCCTTTGCTATCTGCTTCTCTTGTCTCCTTCCTAGTCTTCGATCCTCCTCCTCCCTCTTCTAAGGATAAGGCCCCTTATGATTACACTGGGCCCACCTCATGGGACCAATAATCTCCCCATCGCAAAATCCTTAATCATATCTTTAAGTCTCTTTTGTGCAAGGTGATGAATTCACAGACTTCAGGACTCAGGATATGACACGTTTGGGGTGACTTCATTCTTTTTACCGGTGGGTAATATGGTTACTATCACAGGCTTTGGTGTTAGCCCTAGTTCGCATCATAATTCCACCACTTACTGCATATATGGTCATCACTGACCACCTCTCTTCCTCTGCTTCCTCGTTTGAAAAACAAGATAGCATACCTACCTCATGAGATTGTTACAGAATTTAAATTAGATTGTACATGTACATTTTTTTACACAGAGCTGTCACTACATAGGTTCATGTTAACTGCTGTTACTATTTTTTAAAAAGACAGTATAAAGTTAGAGAAATATTTGGTTGTCCTTATAGATGAATGAAAAAGAATACACAGTACGAAAAATAGATATATATGGTCAAGCTGTTGACTTGAATCAATACAAGCAGTCCTTGAAAACAGTCTGTACCTTTTTGTTTGTTCTCTTTTTTATTTTTATTATTTTTATTTTTTGAGAGGTTTCTGCTTTAGGGCACATGTGCTCGCCAGAAGGACAGTCAATTTGTCAATTTCTGGACACCACTGATTTTCAACAAAGGTATATAGGCAATTCAGTGGAGAAAGGATAGTCTTTTCATCAAATAATGCTGGAACAACTGAACATACACAAAAACAGTGAACTTTCAATTCACACCACATGCCACATAAAACATATAACTCAAAGTGGGCCATAGCCCTAAATATAAAACAAAATGTTAGAAAGCTTCTAGGAGAAAAATCTTTGTGACCTTGAATTAGATACAACATTCAAAGCCATAAGTATTAAAGAATCTTGAGAATTTAAGAAAATCTTAACAAAAACTTAAGATTTTTCCTTTATGAGTACTAGTCAGTAATAAAAAGGAGTGAACTATTGCTACATGCACAACATGAGTGAATCTCAAAATAATTATGCTGAGTAAAAGAGAACAAACAGAAACCAGCAGTTAGCGTAATGGCTATGTTGCTGGACTCCCATGTAGTCGACTGCAGTTCAAGTCCTGGACCTGGTGGCTTAAACTCACACTGAGCGCGTGTGAATGCGTGCCCAAGATCCCGAGAGGAGAATGAAGGAGAAGGGATTGCGGTGTGGCCATCTCCCCCCCCCACCCCGGGGTGGTGATTTCTCGCTTTCTGTCTCTCTGTCTCAGCGAGCACACGCGCCCTAAAGCAAACACCTCTAAAGAAAAAAATAGACAACAAACAAAAAGGTACATACTGTTTTCCAGGCTTACTTGTACTGATTCAAGTTAACAGCTGCATATTGAGCATCTCATATGTGCCATGTGTGATGGTTAGTGTTTTGAGGGAGATAAAAATGGGTAGTTTGGGGAACCAGCAGTTAGCATAATGGCTATGTTGCTGGACTCCCATGTAGTTGACCGCGGTTCGCATCCCGGACCCGGTGGCTTAAAACTCACGCTGGGTGCATGTGCGTGCATGCCCAAGATCCAGAGAGGAGAATGGAGGAGAAGGGATTGCAGCGTGACCATCCCCCCTGGGGGGTGATTTCTCGCTTTCTGTCTCTTATGTCTCTCTCTGTCTGTCTGGCGAGCGCATGCGCCCTATAGCGAAAACCTCTCAAAAAAAAAAAAAAGGGTAGTTTGTCCCTAGTTTATGAACAGCTTGAATTCCAAATGTTTCTTGTTACCCCAACCGATTGCAATTTGGAATATAATATTTATAACATATAGCCAGTGTTATGCATAGTCATTAAAACCTCCTAATTATGTGAATAGGAAAATAAACTCAAAATTGCAGCTGGAGGGGCCACACATAGTTCTCCTCGGCTGGCTCATCTATTGAGTAGTAGCAGGGAGGAGGCAGGGCATCCAGGCATGTGAGGACTAAAGGCAATAGGAGTGGAACCTGAGACCCTGAGGATGCCAAGTTGGGGAAGGAGTTCTGAAGGCAGATGGCAGAGCTGAGACTGCAAGGTGGAAGATGACAGTGATAAGGACAGGAAAACAGGAAGAAGGCTTGCGAGGGGATGGCAGCAGGCACAATGCTACCACCTTATTGTCCAGCATCTGTGTTCCAGGGCGTGCTGCTGTGGCGTACAGGGCTAAGGTGGGAGAAAGGCATGGGAAGACGGGGATGGAACCCCAAACCCCTCCTTCCTCCTTTCTGATGGCAGGTCTGGGACTAGTGAACCAGCAGGGTTGAAAGGGGATTCCCTACCCACCTTCCTTCCTGCTTCCAAGGGTTAGTACAACCTAACTGAGAAGTCAGTAATCCAAAATGTGAAGGAACAAACAACAACGTTTGTGAATAGGAGAAGCCCTAAAGAGAAGACAGTCAAGGAAAGGTCTTTAAAACAGAGACCACTGAGCAAATAAGGATGCTGAGGAGAACTGCGCGGGAGTAGGAAAAGTTGAATGGAGAGGAGAGTTGATGGAGCCACAGTGGCTGAAGACTGTGGAGAGGGGCTGGCATGTCTTCTGGGTCAGAGGCAGGGTTAAAAGCTGGCACCTGTGTTGATCAGCTGGTGGCCAGGACTGCAGGACCAGGTGAATTCTGTGCTACACAGTCCCTGTTTCTCCCTGAAATAATAGTAAGCCTGTCACCCAGTGAGGGGAAGCAGCAAGTGAGGGGTGAGGTGGGGAGTTTGGGGAAAGCAATATAGGTTTAAAAGAGCCTAAAAAGGAGATATCTTTAGATCAATAATTTCACTTGTAAAACCTATCCCAAGAAAAATCATTTAAAATGTACTAAAATTTTATAAACTGGATAGATATATGTTTGTAGAATTACTTAGAATCATTGGAAACAAATGAGAAAAAAAATTAGAGTGCTTACCAGTAAGATAATAGTTTAAAACTATGCTACAGAATTCAATTAAGTTAAAATTATGTTTAGAAAGATTTTTTTTTTTCTTTTTAGGGGGGAGAAGTTTTTAGCTATAGGGTGCGTGCGCTCACCAGAAAGACAGAGAGAGACAGAGAGACAGAAAGCAAGAAATCACCCCCCGGGGGGGATGGCCACACTGCAATCCCTTCTCCTCCATTCTCCTCTGGGGAGCTTGGGTACGCACACACATGTGCCCGGCGTGAGTTTAAGCCACCAGGTCCAGGACTCGAACCACAGTCAACTACATGGGAGTTCAGTGACATAGCCATTACGCTAACTGCTGATCCCTAGAAAGATTTTTTTTTTTTTGAGAGGTTTTTGCTATATAGCACGTGCGCTCGCCAGACAGAGACAGAGGGACAGAAAGCGAGAAATCACCTCCCAGGCGGACGGGATGGCCATGCCGCAATCCCTTCTCTTCCATTCTCCTCTCAGGATCTTGGGCATGCATGCACACGCGCCCAGCGTGAGTTTTAAGCCACCAGGTCCGGGATGCGAACCGTGGTTGACTACGTGGGAGTCCAGCGACATAGCCATTACGTTAACTGCTGGTCCCCCTAGAAAGATGTTTTAATGTCAGAGTAAATTGTGACATACTTGGGACATTATAGTAGGTATTAAAGATTTAGAAATTTATATAAGGTATATACGGAGTGGCTAGAAGAAAACTGAGCAAAATATTAATAGAAGTTTTTGAATATTATGACTACCATTATTTTCTTCTCTATCTTTTTCAGCACTTTATAATGGATCTATTTGCTTCATATGTAATTTTAAAATCCTAAATTTTTATCCAAGAGAATAATTAAAAGGAAATAACTTCATGTTTCCAGTTGCTAATATTTTAAGTGGTTATATTTAATGTCCCAAAATATTCCCTTTTGTTTTTCCTAGGTCACCCAGAAATTTATCCTTTAGTATTAACAACCAAGACCCAGGAAATATTTAATTGCCGAATAGATGAAGATGTTACAGATGAACAACCTCATAAGCTCATCAAAAAACAAGACATTTTAGAAGATTTGCATAATAGAGCTGCAGTATCTGATTTCCATCCAGTCAAAAAACTTGTCCAGGTAAATACAATATCCCTCCTATTCCTCAGTCCTGCTTCAAGAGGGGAGACTGCTAAGTTCACATCTGGCATTCCCCATTACTTCAGGCAAATGCTGGCTTGTCCATGCCTAATTAGGATTCTGTTTGATTATCTTCTGTGAAAAGCAAAGTCCTCTCAGTTACTGACTGTCTTATTCCATTCCTAGAATAGCTCACCCTTTTTCAAAGTTTATTTACTTATTTCTTCCATGAGTGAGAGAGATAGAGAGAGACAAAACCAGCATTCCCAACAGGGAGTGACACCACGATCCACCCTCAGCCTCGCTGGCCTCAGATCATGGGCACGCAATTGCCTGACAAACTCAGGGAGGACTCAAGATGCAAATCTGGAACCTTCCCGTTGGGTCTGTTACACAAAGCATCACGTTTTACCACTGCACTACTATCTGGCCCCCTCCCTGCCTAATTTTAACTAGAATAGGAGTCTACCCTTATTTTCTCATACGATTTTGATTGTTTAATTCATAATTTTGGTCTTGATATACTACAGAGAACATCGAATGAAATAATGTTTCTCTTTTCCTGTATAATACTACATGGTAAATTTCACTGGACCTATTGTGAGATTTTTTTAGTTGGCAGAGTGCATGTGTACTTGCCACAGTGAGGCAGAGAAAGAGGGAGACAGAGAAAGAAGCCTCCAAGGGGCATAGTTCTGCCACCATCCCCTCTCCTTCATTTCTCCAACCTGCTAAGATTTTGTGTGCACATACATACCTGGTGTATTTTTCAAGCTGCTGGGACTGGGATTGAAACTGCAGTCAGTCATGTGGTATCCAGCTTCCTTAACCACTAGGCTGGACCCTTGTGTTGTTTTGTTTTTCTTTTCTTTTCCTTTCTTTTCTTTTCCTTT